TGATGATGTACCAGGAAGGAATTCTTAGTTTTCAACTTTAACTCAGGAATCAGGCAAGATATCAACCTGAAAAATCCCTTAAAAACAAACAAAACAAAACAAAAGATAACAAAAGTAGCAGGTTGGGGGGATTACAATAAATTTACAGTCTTCTTAGGTTGGCAAACAGAATTCCTAAAAACAGAAGTTTAGCCAATTGTCTGATTTTTATTTAGTGAAGTTTACTTGTTTTTAACCTATCATATTATTTTTATTAATTGGTTAATTTCATTCATTGAACCTACACTTTTTTCTTTTCTGTTAGATTCATATTTTTTTATAAGAATACTTAACAACACAAATTTTTAAGCATATAATACAGTATTGTCAAGTAGCAATACAATGTTGTACTGTAGATCTCTAGAACTTATTCATCTTGTACAACTAAAGATTTATATAGCAAATCTTCCTCCTGTTTCTTTCTCCCCCAAGCTCCTGGCAACCTTCATTCTACCCTGTTTCTGTAAGTCTGACAATTTTAGACACCTCATACAAGTAGAATCACACAGTATTTGTCCTTTTCCTGACTGGCTTATTTCACTTAGCATAATGTCTTCAAGGCTTATCCACGTGATCACAAATGGCAGGACTTCCTTCCCTTTTAGGGCTAAATAATATTCCACTGCGTGTATATAACACATTTTCTTTATCCATTCATCTGTTGACAGACACTGGGTTGCTTCTGCTCTTTGGCTATGGTGAATAATGCTGCAATGAACACAGGAGGGCAAATACCTCTTCAAGATTCTGATTTCAATTCTTTTGGATAAATACCCTTAAGTGGGATTGCTGGATCATATGGTAGCTCTGTTTTTAATTTTTTGAGGACCTTCCACACTGTTCTCCATAGCAAATGCAACATTTTGCATCCTATTAACAATTTACATGGGTCCTAATTTTTCCACATCCTTGCAAACATTTGTTATTTTTCTTTCTTTTTTTTCTAATAGCTATCCTAACAGGTATAAGGTGACATTGAATCCACACATATTTATTGGACACTTCAGTACTGTGCCTCAACTGTATTTTTGTTATACTTTCAGGAAACTTACTATCTCCTATTTGTCAAATTTTATTAAATCTTTGCTCTCATATTTTTAATTTGTAAGAGTACACCTTTAACCCCTAGATATTCCTTTTTATAGAATCCTATTATTATTTCATTAACATGGTCTATCTTTCTGAGAATATTCACTACACATACGTGTGTATACATGCAGATAAATGTCATTTAATTTCTTTGTAAATTGCCTTTTTGGGTCCTTTGTCTCTTTTTCTTTTAAAGTGTTCACGTCTCTTATTAATTTGAAAGGACTTTTTACATATGAAGGATATTAGCTCTGACATATGTTATAATCTTTTTTTCTCCCCCTATGTTAACTTGCTCTTGAAGCACTGTTAGAAGATGCTGGTGAAGATTAAAGAGTTCATTCTGACAGCTGTTAATATAGACAAATGTGTTAACCTTCCTTTCATAGAGAAATAGCTAAATGAAAATTTAGTACTTTCCACACATTTAAACTTTTGAATACCCATGATGTACTAGGTAATGGTAATAAGGCTGATCCAAAGAAGTTTATAATCCAGTGGGATACAGATTATTTCCCTCTCAAATAATTATTACTGGTAAAAACTCCGAAATTATTTTAATTTTCATTATCAAGAGAATAAACGATACACAAAGTTAGTCTATAAATAACATACAATTATTAAACAAAATTAACTTGTCAAGAAAAAGTAATTCCTGCTTGTTTAAAAAATGTCTACACAAACTCTGTCAGTAATATATAGAATGTCCTCATCCATGTTCCTAAAAAGTATTTTTAAAAATTTGAAAGGAAATATACTGAAGTTCTACTTTTCACACCTTTACTAATTTGGAAAACAAAAAACTTCAGGTCTGGAAAAGAAACAAAATGGCTTACACCTGAGTACTCAAAAAACATGCTATGACACAACTTTATTCTCATTTGCCCTGGATAAAATGACCTGTTCCTGTCAGAGCAGTTCTAACAAAAAAACATCTATGGACTTTTTTGATAGTCAAGTGCTAACTGTTGAGGATATTAGCAGGAATCTAGAGATGCAAAGATAGCCACCCCTATAATTCTGAAAATACTCTATGAATCCTAACTAAATGCCATACCAGTGACAAACAGCTAAATTCTTGAAGAACCTTTTGAAAGACATTGAGTGCTAAAACATGAAAAACATATTTCATGTTACAGTTTATCAATTATGTAGTAAGCAGTCTCTTCTACCCACCAATAAAAGGAAAATCTACTCAAGCACCTAAAAAGAGTCTTAAAGTGAAAGAACAAGCACAATAACATCTCTTTGATCTACAAAATGGTATTTATTCAAATTCAAGATTTTAGGAGGGTCTTTGAATCTAAGAGTTTTCTGTATATTCACAGGAATTGGTTTGTAGAGAAAACTGACTGGATGGAAAGGCTAAGTAGATAGCTCAAAGGATCTATTTAGTGCAGACACTGGGAAAGTTTCATAGGTAGAATGATGAGTTGTCAGTTCTATGATTCACCCTTCTCAAATGTACACTAGAATATGAATTATTAACATTCCATTACTTTTGGAAAAATAAGATGGTAGAAAATAGCCAAAAGTCACATCAGCGCCTCACAAATATGCAGCAGGCCCAGCTAACACTTCTCTTCCAATCTACATTTCCCACACTGCATACATCTTACCAATTATAAATTCAAAGCAATTAACAAGTTTTTCTTTCAAAATCAAGTATCAGGTGAATGAAGTCTACCATTCACATGAATTACCAGAAATAAACCAACTTACTTTACAGAAAAGAAAACTGAAAACCAGTGAAATTAAGTGACTTAACCAACACACCATGTCAGTTGGTGGCTGACTGAGTTTTTCAATCATACCAAGCCACTGCCAAATGAAAGGGAATTTTATTTTTGAGGCTAGAAAAATAGAAGGATAATTTGGGAGAGTTTTCAGGGAAAAGTGGGCCTGAGAGGAATCTCCAAAATGTCAAATGGGAAACTTTTGTTAGCTATGCCAGCATGAGGGCACTGGCATGTAGGACTCCTTGATAAGAGATAAAGAAACACAAATGGGAAAGTGTCTAGAAGAAAAGGTTCTCACCATCAAGAAAATGAAAACAACACTCAGAATGGGAAAACATTTTTGCAAATCATATATATGATAAGGGATTTACATCCAAAATACATAAAGAACTCTTACAACTCAATAGTGAAAAAAACAAATAAGCCAATTTAAAGGATTAAAATAGACATTTCTCCAAAGATAATTTACAAATTGCTAATAATCACACAAGACAATTCCCCACATCATTACTCACTCATTAGAAAAATGCAAACCAAAACCACAATGAGATATCACTTCAAATCCACTTGACTGGTTATCAAAAATAGTATTGGTGAGATTGTGGAGAAAACCGAACCCCCAAGTTGTAAGGCAAAATGGTGCAGCTGCTTTCAAAAACAGCCTGGCAGTTCCTAAAAAGGCTAAACGTAAAGTTACCATATGACCTAGCAATTCTATTCCTGGGTATTTACCTAAGAGAAATGAGAACATAAGTCTACACAAAAATTTGTACACGAACATTCATTGCAGAAATATTAATAACCAAGAAGTGAAAACACCCAAAATGTCCATCAACAGATGAAATAAAATGTGGTATATCCATACGATGGAATATTATTAGGCTATAAACAAGAATGAAGTACTGACATATGCTACAACATGGATGAAACTTGTATGCTTCCATTTATATGAAATGTCCAGAACATGCAAATCTATAAAGACAGAAAACAGTTTAATGTTTGCCTAAGGCTGGTGGGGATAGTGACAAGGGTGGGAGGGAGTAATTCCTAAAGGATAAAGGGCTTTTTAAAGGGGTGATGAAATGTTCTAAAATTGACCGTAGTAATAGTTGCACAATTCTGTGAATATACTAAAAACCACTGTACACTTTTTAAAATCTTTAATACATTTAAAAAAATTTTAAATGTAAATTCCAGTTAGTTACATACAGTGTATTAGTTTCAGGTGTTGAATTGTACACTTTTAATGAGTGAACTGTATGGAATGTGAACTCCATTTCAACAAAGTTCTTACAAAGGAAAAAGAAACAGAAAAGTTCCCTAACCCGGTACTGTCTGTTAATAACTAGTAGGAAGTTTAAGAGTGGCTGACAAATGTCGCAGTTAAATTACTAAAATGGCAATATCTGGTCATGAGTCTGGCTCTGGATGCTATGATAAGGGTTTGGAGATTTGACATGGGTGGTAGTGGACACTCAATAATATAAAGGATGGTCTTTGCCCTAATTGTAAGAGTGATTCACACACACACACAACAAGAATCCACCTAATATTATACATCGCTGAATAAAAGATAAATGATTGGTAAAGAGCAGATAATCATTTCACAGATCTGATAAATAACCTCTGATGTTGTAGATTCATTGATGTAAACATCGGTCCTTGACAGTTGTGAAAAGAGGCAGCAGATGGGGGGCGCGGGGGAAGAGTTATTCATGTTCAGGGGCCAGAAGTTGACCAAGTTGGGGCAAACGCGGTTTAGTTGGAGGTAAGGAAAGAGTACAGTACTGTCTAAGGGATGCAATTTGTACACTTTATTGGGGTAACAAGGACATCACTAAATCAAGACTCAATGGACCGTTTTCCATTTCGCAAGTGTCCCTTAGAAACAAAATGCTGTAACTCAACAAGCTAAATCAGTCTTTTGAAAGAAAGTTAAAGTCACATTGGATTGATGCCTCTAGCCACTGAGTTCACCTTCCGTCTAAAGTGCAATAATCGCACTTGAAGGTTTTATAACGAAGAACGAGAAATCTGTGGCAATTAAAACTGCCAGAACAACGTGGCTCTGCATAGGCTTTGAAATTTAGGTGACCAAGACGTCCCCAGGTGGGTGTCGGGGAAGGAACGTACCTCGAGTCACCCGAGGAAAGAGGCGATGCGAAGGAATCCCGGGAACTGCATTTTTGCAGGTAAACCCGGGTTGGGCGATCCCGCCCGGAGGCTGCCTGCGACCCGAACGCAGAAGCAGAGAAACTCTAGTGGCCAGGTAACCGGCTCACCGCGATCGCGCCTGAGCCTTCTCCGCGTTTCCATGGCTAACGTCAACTCTAGCGGGCGCCACCGCCGCGGAACCGAGACCTCGCTCGGGGGCGGTTCGGGCGCTCGACTCGCCCCGCCCCTCAGCTTGTGCTCGCCCTGGGGCGCTTCCCCACCCGCCCGCTAAGCGAGGCGGAGGTGGGGAAGAGGCGCGCTTCGTTCACTCCAGGCGTGGGCCCACGCTCCCCTGATTAGGGGTCGTGGGAGTCTCTCCCGCTCTGGCCTCGCTTTGGGCCTCCACCGAGGCGAGGGGGAGGATCTCAGCAAGCTCTGAACTTTCACCCAGGGCCGCGCCCCTACGCAAGAGCGCCGTTTCCCTGGTGACGTGACGTGTCCAAGGGAGTGGGTAGTGCTTTCTGGCAGATTGACGTGCGGCCGCCATTTCGCGAGCTTTGGCTTGAGGGTGGTCTGACTGCAGTCTCAGGAGTGTAGTGTGACTCCAACGGCTCGCCGTCTCGCAAGTTCCATTAACTGTATCAGCACTTTGGCCATCACCACCCAGCACACCCACGGTAATAAATGCTTTTAAGTAATACTTCATACATCCTGTTCGGCTTGGAAGATTTGGAACTGAATATACGTGCTAGCTATTGCCCTTTATTGCATATTTTTTCTCCCTGAGATTTTTAAATGCAAGGAACCACAATGTCCATCATTGAATCATGCTACTAAGAAGGTATCTGTTTATTAATAAAATAAGGCAAAGTCCACGTATCCTAATTGGGAGAAAAAAAAAAAAAAACCCGTAGCGGACTGTTAATACTTAGAGGCAATTTAAGGTCGGGGAATCTCTGTAGGATGGCCACAGAGTCCCAGTTTTGCTAGTTTAAAGTTAGACGCCCACCGCCTCCATTTTCCATGAAGTTTGATTTCTTCCTCATGTTCTGGACATCTTTCAGATTGCTAGTTGGAAGTCCACAAGGCGGCCCCTTAGAGCGTTAAATTGGTAATTGGTCTCAAATGATTTAGAAGCTATTTAAGGGAACTCCGAAGCCAATTTGTCAGTATTTTGTGTCAGGTACTTGTGTTTCCCTAAGTGATTGACACTCTAGCAATTCTGCATACTTGGGACTCCTGAGTGTTCAAGGACTGTCTTATTTGTATCTCCTTACCTCAAGACTATAAATGCGGCCTTTTTTGTTTTCTGGCTTTACTGGAATTGATGGCTTAGTTCTTAAACATCTAGGTTTTCAGGCCATAATAGGAAAAATTTTTGTGTGTTAATATTAAAAGAAAGCCAAAGCTTAGATAGATAGATAAATGCTACTCTATTCAGAGGGAAAATGTAGTTTATTAAGTATGTGGAAGAAAACCTTGTGCAGAGTTTCAATGACGTACATATACTTCGAAGACACAATTAGTAGGTAAACCTTTCATAGTTCGGTCTGATGGGGAAATGGACTTAATGTTTCCCATACTTTGGGGGAAGACATAACCTTAGTCGTCATGGGTCAGGGTACCACATTAAGCATCTTTGAGGCATCTGCAATTGCTAGGAAGTCAGTGTAGTGTGGTTAAGAGTTGAGGCTCTGGAGTCAGGAAGTCCTAACTTGTTGGAACCCTGACATCACAGCTCACTACCTGTGTGATACAGGGGTTACCTAATCTTCCTGGTGCTCAGTTTCCAAATCTTATAAAATAGGGTTAATAATGGAAACAAAATTTATCCCGCAGGGAGTTGAGTAGATTGGGTTAAATAACTGTAGATCGCTTAGTTAGGCACAGCTTAAGTGCTTAGAATGAGCTATTCTCTTCATGTAGAGAGGCTGTATTTTTGTCACCCTAAATTACGTATAATTCAATCAGAATTAATATTTTTGTTGTTGTAATACCTGCTGTAGATATTTGGTTGTTAAATTTTTCTTTTTTTCCAGTATGTTTGTTACTTTGCACTTGGAATAAAATTAGTAAAGCTTATGGTACAAGGCCTTTGGCTACTTGTACATAAAAAGTATTCATTCAGGGGGCGCCTGGGTGGCTCAGTTGTTAAGCGTCTGCCTTCGGCTCAGGTCATGATCCCAGGGTCCTGGGATCGAGCCCCACATCGGGCTCCCTGCTCCACGGGAAGCCTGCTTCTCCCTCTCCCACTCCCCCTGCTTGTGCTCTCTCTCTCGCTGTGTCTCTCTCTGTCAA